GCATCAATAGAGTGGTTCCAACATGACTTTCATTATGATACTTTTTCTCATAATGAAAGAAATGTTAAAAATTATTTATATCATAATTATGCAAACTCAGGGATGTGGAGACAAAAGGTGGACCATTTGCTTGGGCCTCCTCGATCATCTGACCTATCCATTTTAGATTTTTTTTATGCGGTATTAGATAAGGGAAATTATGAATTAAAAGAGACACTCGAAGAGGCAGTACGGGAGAAGTTTAATGAAGTCGACAGGCCGTTCTGTGAGAAAAGCTCGTAACATTTGCTAAAATAACTTAAAGTGTATGCAGTGATATTAATTTTTCAATTTGTTTGTCAATTGTAATGTAAATTAATAAGAACCGTTTAATAAAATAGTCTGTCTTTTTGTAAGTTAAACACATAACAGTATAAGGATACCATACCAACTAAATGAAATTAGTCAAGAAAGAGAAGAATTGGATTTAACTCAGTAATTTTTCGAAAAAAAAACATATTATAGCTTATATCACTGGAAAGCTTAAAAAATTATGCTTTTTACGAAGTTATGGCCAACTATGGTTTCCATTTAAAAAATATATGTTTGTGTTATATATAAAAAAATGTCAGGCTTTAGAAACAAACGGAAAACACAATCTGATTAAGGATGTGAATATCTACAAATTTTATCTCAAAACATTTTGCCTAAAATAGAGTATAATGGAATTAGGAACCATTTTTGAAATAAACGAAATTTGTTTTTTTAAATATCTAGTAAGCTATAAACTTATTCAAAAATCTGAAAGGTGCATATTTATGACCCCAGAAAACTGCAATTCTGTCCCCATTTAACCGACTCTCTATCTTCAGTAGTCATTCATAACACTCACTCTGTATATGTATTTCAATATCTTTCTGTCTTTGAATATGTTTTTCCCACTATTTTCCGCTGAATTTCTAATATATAATGTCTAATATTTCACTGAGTTGCAGTGGACATCAATTATTGCGAAAAAGTGCGTGACATGAGTTTCAATTGCGAAAACAATGTGCTCAAATCCACTAATTATTATCCTATTGATATTGATAGACAAAAAATTATATCTAGCAGTATTAATTTAGAAATAAATTGAATTCAAATAGTTTAGCTTCTGACAACTTATTATTTTACCAAACGTCAATACAATAATCACTTGAATACAAATAATCTACTGTTATAGAGATTTATCTCTAACATATTGAATATTGATTTGAACTACAAAAAATTATGCATGAGGCAGCCAGCTAGGGCGGAGCAACTCCCCACTTTAATCCACCGTGGATACCTATGAACACCCTGTATATGGGCTGATCATATTTCAGTCTTACATTATCCTGTGCGCATTTCTTTCTCTATAAATATTTTAGGAGCGGTGTCGTCCTAAGAGGCATTATTTCTTCCGTTTTATTACACCAGTAAATTTTTACTGTCCGCCGTTGCCTGCTTCAGTTATCTGCAATCTGGCTTGGGAGTTTCGTGTCCAGTTTTCCTAAATTGGGCTCTTGTTGGAGTGCCACTACCAGTGAATCATATATCGCGCTTGTAATCTTAGGTAAATCGGTTAGTTTCTTGATGGTATCTTGAATCTAAAACATTTATTTGTTTTTCGATTTGATGACCAAATTAGTTGCAACCGGTGTTTTAAATGGGCCTTTTTATTTTATACCTAATAAATTAGATTCAAAATTATCCAGAATCGTTTGTTTTGTATTTATTTTGTTAGAGAAATATTATTTGATTTAATTTTGCAGCATATTAATAATGAATTAATCTTAATGGTAAAATTGATGATGGTATTTCTTTCATTTGTTTTTTTTTCGTTTGTAATACTAAATTGTTGAATCTTCAAAAAAGTCAAATGGGTATTTAGCCACTTACACTGTAAGAAAATTTACAAAATAAATTAGTTATTTTTTGTAAACACCGCTGCGTTTATCCAACAGAGACCAACTTGTCAGCGTGGTTTACTAATAAAACAAATTTGTCTGACGGACAAAAAAATGCCTAACGTTTCGGGCAGTATATCTCTTTCTGTCATCGGGAGCAAAAAAAACACAAAAAAAGAAAATATATAACATATCTAACTACAACCAGTCAAGAACAGATAGGTCTATAAAAATCTTTGACGTTCTGTCGATATTATATCAAATCAAGCTTCAAAATTAATAGTTACTACTGTAAGAATACACAAAATTAAAACTTCACCACTTAAATTTTATCAATTTTTATTAGAAAGATACAAAAGATGCTATGCGTATGACCACCAAAACAAATCTGACCTAACCCCCCAAAATTCCAGCTGGCTTCTTTATTATTTTATTATTTTCGGTATTTTCCATCGCCTTCGCCAAACTACTTAAATTTTTCCTTGAATCTTTTAGGGATTACATTCGGCCATGCTACCATATTTCCGCACCAGATATATGTATATATATATATATATATATATATATATATATATATATATATATATATATATATATATATATATATATATATATATATATATATATATATATATATATACATTTGATCACTTACCGAAACTTAATAGAAATATCAGAGATGCAAGAATGCTGCGCATTACATTCCGAAATTAAGTCTGAATTTTCCATTTCTGAAAATAAACATTAAACAACAAAGCATTATATAAACAATTCCAAAAAAAAAAATCAAATAAAGAAATCACTAAGACGATGCGTTTTCGTCTCCATCACTTTCCACCTCACTACTACTCATATAAATAGGAGTAAGCGGTTTCATTTTGTCCGTAGAACTGACACCATTATATCGTTTTGAGCTCCATGTTGACCCGGGTAAATCCTCTACAACATACCTCTCGCTAGGCAAAACTTTCTTTACAATGTAGGGTACGCTGTATTTTGGCAATAACTTTTTATTCTTTCCGTCATTGGCAAAATTTGTTTTTCGTAAAATAAAAAGATCTCCTACATTGTAACTTCTACTTTTCTTTCTCTTAGCATCAAAATAAGCCTTCTGCTTATCTTGTGCCTCTTTTATTCGTAACTGTGATTCGTTTCTAATCACTTGGCAACTCCTGCCTGGTACGTTCACGTCGAACTGTACATGTTAGAGTTGATAGGTAGTCACCATAAAGTTCTTCAGGCGTTAAATATCTGCCAGCCTTAGCTCCCGATTGGATAGCATTATCTTGGATACCGTCAATTAACATGACGTTTTTGCCAGTTATGCTACATTGACGTAAAAGTTGAATTTTTTCAAAATACTCGTAATACTCTGTCTATGACTCGTCCGACATTTTATAACGGTGAATCAACTTTTTAAGGGTCGTAGGAAAGTCCAGATGATCCGGAAATGCTTGAATTAATTTTGTTAGTTTTTCCATTTTAGCTAGTTCTGTTTTTATACCAAATTTTAGCCAGCCCTCTTAGGCCTGACTGCTTATGGTAAATGGTTGTTTTTTCGTCCCAACGGTTTATTTGTGTAAGCTGTTCTATCTTAACCAACCATTTGGCAACATTGTCCTTTGGAGTCTCCAGAATACACTCGGGCCTAATAAAAACACGTGATTCAGTTTTGGCCCTATCATTTTGTAGTAACTGGTTAACCAAGTCTTCCAATTGTCTAATTCTCTCCTGCGACTCAATTTCCTTACAGCTACTAGCTATAGAACTACTATTTTGCGGGACGTTCACGTCTATAGCATGTTCTATTGTTAAGACTGACGTGAGGGCGTATCAGTGCTATTAGGTGGCGTATAACTGCGGTGTTCCCTAATATTTTTATTATGATAAGGCTTCCTTATATTTTTCTTATAACATTTCTGTTTTTGTCGCCGATAACGGCCACAATTCCTATTTGATGAAGAACTGCTCGAAGTTGTAGTACTACTTCAGCTATGTCGACGTTTTCGACCCATTTTATCAAATAACTGCACACACACTATGTAAATGGCAGTAATAATACTCAAAATCGACCAACACAAACGTTTAAACAACCAAACCAGTTGAAACACACTTTTCCGTAAGCAATAAGCTCTTCCGGCTTGATTTGAGAATTTATCCCGCCGCACAGTGCAGCGAATGTATTGGAAAAGAGGACAAAATTAATAAACCAGGCTCTACTTCATACATTTTAATGAAACAAAAGAAATATGGAATATTTAACCCAATATTACGTATTTTAATCGTTTTTTGAAATTCTTAAAGATTCTAGCCAGGATAATGAAAAAGTTAAAAAAAGAAAATATTTATCAAGAAAAGAAACATTTACAACTAATTTTGAAAAAAGTTAAATTTAAAAAAAAGTTAGATTTCACTTTTTTTAAACACAGGTCTTCCAATAAACATCTTCTAATATCTTATTAACTAATAATTAACGAATTATACAGGGTTTCCTGTCAGTACAGTGTGTAATTACTCGATTCTCGTTAACAAACTAAAATATAAAACATAATTCAACTATTACAGTAGTATCACAGGTGTGCTTTTAAAAATATTTTTTTTTATACAGGGTTAGTAATAAAGAGAATTGCATTTTCTTAATAAAGTATCTTATATACAGGGTGTTCAGCTAACGATGGCTCTCGGCTATATCTTAATAAGTATTATTCCTATTTTCATTGGAAATATTATGAGTAAATCGACCAAGAGAAATCGCTGGAAATTATTTTTAATTTTGAAAAATATCCGCTAGGGGGCGTAACAGCACTTTAAAAATAAAATGCCGATTTTCTTTTATGTATTTCTGTATGTATTGAATTTTTCATAAAATGTTGCTACTTTTTGATTTCAATCATTTTTAATTTTTTTTAATAATAAATTGGTACTGATTTATAATAAATTATAATAAAATTGTGACTGATTTAAAAAAAAAATCTTAATTTTTCAATTGAGTTAAATGATAATTAAAGGTGATGTAAATTAAATACAATACAATTATTATTATTAAAAAAGATTTAACCAAAAATGATAAATTATATAAATACATTTGTAAAACTAATCTGAATCTGAGGAACTATCAACAATATTTTCTAAATTTATGTCTTCGAAATGTGGCATATTTTCCTTATCAGTATCAGTTATTTCATTTACCAAATATTTTTCAACATCTTTATCTAGTCTGACACTTTTCTTAGTCACCACTTTCCGTAAAGACGAAATTAGAGGTTCGGATGCTAACAAAAGGTATCTTAATAAATCTAAATTTGAACTACTTCTAGAAATTTTGCGAGTGTGAAGTAATCGATTTTTTCTGACTTCCTTGTGTGTAGCTTCTAGAGCATCCTCTGAAAGCTGTCCGATTGGCAGTGAGAAAGAACCGATTATGTCACTGCCATGTACAAGCACTTTATGCACACTGCTCGGCATGTAGTACCAAGGATATAACTCTAAATAATGCAGTCTCGTTTCTTGTAGCAACATCATAAATTTATCCATATGTATATGGGAACCACTGGCTAAAACCCTAAGAATTATGGAGAATTCTTTAATTAGACCTTTGTCTACCCCTGTAATCTCAGAACTTAAATCAGGGTTGTAAAAAAATACTCTTGCCGTATTGCCATCATTAGTAGAGCCATACCCTGGCTTTGGCTTGTCTACTAGAAGACCCAGTTTGGATTTAAACTCTGCCTGAATTCTTTTTTTATTGTTTTCAACGATTTCTTTGTTTTCATTTCCCCTGATTTGCCATGTCTTAACTGGTAGCCTATAACCGATATGAAGCAGACATTCAAAAAACCTGATCCAACAATGAAGGGTAGACAAGCCAAAACGGTAGTTCTCTACTTTTGATGGACGATCGACTACATATTCAGAGTTCATATCCTTGGGACTTGCTCCACAAATAATGCATTTAGATGTGGCATTAGTATTAGACAGAACATTGCTCACACTGCCATCCATCATTGTGAACAACATTTCGAAACTAACTTGACATATGTTGCCATTTTTGGTTTGTACTTTAAATCCACAGAGTTGGTTAATTTTATTGTTCATGTCGTTCTCCTCGTCACGTACTAGTGTTGCGTTTTCTTTTTTAAACATAAATTTTATCGGTCTACAATAGTGAGTCGAAGATGGACGGGGATTGATCCACAACTGTTTTCCATTATTTTTGTCTAATAACCGTATAGGAACCATAGCAACTAGAAACAAGTATTCATCAGTACATAACGCATCGGTGAAACCTTGTTTATATTGGCTATGGCCAGAGCTGCCATCAAAGCCCCATTTGCAAATGAGCTTAAGTTCCTTGTTTTCATTTAAATTTATTAATTCTATTATACTTTTAGATGTTAAGTTAAGAAGCACTTGCAAATCGACCTCAGCAGAAGTTTCTGTTACATTAATTATTGATGGCAGCAGAATATTCCTAGCTTGATTGACAGCATACAGACTAGGCAAACAGTTCTGGTGCACCCCGTTCATCATCGACCTTAATAACTTATATTTTCTCTCTGATAACCCTAAATCTAACGACAGAGCTAACGCTTGATGTGGAGAAAGTGATGACGACTCATTTGGTTTTGAAAATCCGTTGCTGGTCTGTGCAGCAAACTGTAATTCATCTGATGTCCAGCTAGTTGACAGCTCCTGGACGCGCCTTTTTTTCGTTTTGTTTGAAACTTCTAAAAACGGCTTTCTTGGTCTTCCTGCACCACGACTTTGACCAGAACAATTTACATCAATATTGTGTTTCTTCTCTATAAAAATTACAAAATTAAATTTTGGAATTTTATTTTGGATGTAACCCTATTTTATCGAAGCAGTTGCGATAAGCAAGTAATGTTTTTTAATATTATCATAACCTATTGATAATTACGTTATATTTAACAGTATTATAACCATAATGAACAGTACCTTGAATGCATTTTGGAAACTTAATTTCTTGCTGCAGCCAAGTTTCATTATTGACCTCAAAGCGATGCCGGGCCCGCGACGAATTCTTCCATTTTCGATTTAAATTTAAACAATACAGTCTGCTAACAGACATTATTTCCTTCTGAATTCTGGCAGATGTCTCCGTTAAACCCCAAAGTGAACAAATTTTCTCGAAAACAACATGTGTTTGGCTAGATTTTCGACTGGTTAGGCATATATCAACCAGGTCGGCATTTTTGATAGAGCGGACTATGAAAAAAAAAATCATAAATAATTTGGATGCACATAGAAGCAGAAAAACAACTTAAAATCTAAAAGTTTATGAATATATTTACAAGAAAACATAAAATCTGGGATATGATATTTAATGTTTTTTTTTAAAGCTTCGTTAAAGTTTGACAACTTGAAAATTTCTACAAAATTGTACATATCATTTTCTAAGACATATCAAATGTGTAAACTACAATTTAATCAGATAAAATTATTATTATTTATACCTACGTACCTTGTCCTGTAACCTCCATATCTAGTTAGCAATTAAAATAGGATATTCTTTTAATCGTGTCACAACTTGTACCGCACTAATCCTGATACCGATTCTAAACTAATGCAATCCTTTCGAATAACGACTTTTGACAGGCGCATTATTTCGCAGTGACGTTTTCCAGGTTAATAATGTTTATTGTGTGTTGCATAGGAACAATTTATCTTTCGGAGGATATGTTCAAAATAGTTACAATTACATATTTATATTTTGAATTTTGTCCATGGGACGAAGCACTGTGCGCCGCTGCTTTGTAAGAATACACAAAGTTAAAACTTTACCACTTAAATTTTATCAATTTTTATTAGAAAAATACAAAAGATGCTCAATGACCGCCAAAACAAATCTGACCTAACCCTCCAAAACTCCAGCTGGCTTCCTTATTATTTTATTATTTTCGGTATTTCCCGTCGCCTTCGCCAAACTATTTAAATTTTTTCTAGAATCTTTTAGGGGTTACACTACTTAAAACCAAAAAGTTCAAACTTTCTGTATATGATTTTTTATTTGTTTTTAATTTTTACTTATGTTAATTAAAATCCAAGAGGCGATAGCCATGCATTACTAACCTATACAGATGCCTGAGTAACACATTTATTTATATTAGACTGTTAAACCTTTTTTATTTTGCGTTTAGAGACTATCAATTCTTTCATAATAATTTTTGCATTGTTAAAATCTACTCTGTACCCTGTGTCCCATGAATGCTGACACATTTTAGATTTGCGAAAATCGCCCTTTTTTAATATTAAATAACCTTTATGTTGTTTAATTCGAACATTTAACGGTCTAGATGTCTCACCAATTTAATATTAATCACATACACATGGTACTTGTTAGTATTTCAGTTTTTGGTTGTTTGGTTTGGTTTGGTCCAGTGTTCATTGATTTAGTGTGGGTTAAAATGTATCTAAGTATATTTTGTGTTTTGAAGGATATTCGTATATTATATTGTTTTTCTATCCTTCTTATTTTTTTCCGAAACGGCCTCGTATGTATGGAATTGCCAGTTACATATATTGTGTATTGATATCATTGTGTGTATTCTGCCTATGATTTGGGGTTTGTATTTCGTTTAATGTTTTGTCAATAAAAGATGGTGGATAGTCGGTTTTTATTAATGTATTTTTGATGTGGTTTATATCTTTGTTAAGTGAATTATTGTCGGAACATATTGTTTTTGCCCTGTCATGTCAACTTTTTATGACACCTTTTTTTTAATTTATACTGTAGTTTGGTCTAAAATTGAAATATCTGTCTGTATTTGTTTGGTTTCTATAAACATCTAAAATTAATTTATTTTGAAACTCTGACACTAAAACATCAAGAAATGACAAACGATTATCTCTCTCTACTTCTAAAATAAATTTTAGGATTGGTTCGCGAGAATTTATATAATGTAAAGAGGCATTAATGTTATGTTGCCATATTGGAAAAATATTATGGAATCTAATACCACAAGATGTTTCGGGATTACCGAATAATACTTTTACCTGACACGAATGCGTTACCCGGCAACAGTGTTACCGGTATCCCAGTGAATGTCAGGCAAAAGTATTAGGTAATCCCGAAACATCGAGTTGTATTCAAAAGATTATACAGCGAAATAAAGTACATATATCCTTCCTATCTTAAACATTTTTATTATAATAATTATTATTAATAACAAAACTACCATTTGCCATTTTGTAATAAGAATTGACGGGATATTTTGTGGATCTGACAGAAATGACTTCTGAATTAATATTTCAAAAAATGACAATTACAATATGGCCACCAAGCGATAATCACTTAAATGATTATCACTTATTAATCACATCCTTCTATATAGGAAAAATATACAGAGTTGTATAATCAACATAATGCAGCTACAGAGGTATAGACTTTTTAAAATTGTTGAACTTTTGATATATTGAAATGTTAAGTTTTATTTTCAAATACCTCCTGATATTAAATTTTACTTATTAGACATATGAATTTAACTGAATTTCGTATTCAATTTAAAAGTTAGAGAATGGAATTTAACATTTAAAATTTTAAAAATCAAAATATCTGTTTTATGTAAAAAGCCACTGGGTTAAAAAATCTATGGAGAAAAATTTTCAGTGTCTCTTTACTTTTAAACAAATGTACGTAACTAAAGGACAGTTAGGTTCAAGGGGTGTATCTAGAGTGATTTGATTTTGAGTCCATGACATACGCGGGTCCTTAACGTTTTGTACATTTTTCATGGATACTTCTTGAATTCATCGTTATGTATTTTTTACATAGAAAAATCTGAATGAGCGTTCATTTCCACTCATCATTCCAGTTAGCTCTTTCATTACACCAGAGCAAACGTTGAGCTTTATGACCTCAACCTAACTCTTTCGGTCAACGGAGGGCGTCTTATAGGCCTATAGCAATGTAAACCTGATTTTTTAATCGATTTAAGACCGTTCGAGGGGCAATACGTACCCTGCTGGCAGCCAAAAGGTCCTGGCTGAGCAACGTGTAGTTTCTTGCAGGATCCATCCTAGCTCCTCTCATTAAGCTTCGGTCCTCCCTAGCATTTGTCGACCTTGGTCTACCTTCTCTATGCCTTCTATGACAGATCCAGTCTCATTAATTCGGGTTTTAAGTCTAGAAATTACATTTTAAGTGACTATTAAATCGATCAGCCACATCGATCTGTCGCGCACCGCCAAGAAGCAACCCAGTGGCTTGATTTGCTTCCTCTACTGTTAAATGACGTCCGTTCATATTATTGATGACAGAATAACCACAGTATTGCAAACTGCCGCTTAGCAACACGCAAACAAATTCTATTCTAAACAAAAATTAAATGTACATTTTTGATGATAGTGCTTTTTATTTGTTTGGGTACAATTTTTTATGTTTACAAACAGTATTTTTTTAAACACGAACAACATAGGTATTAATAGCTATAACACATTTTATCTGAAAAATTTTGTTCTTAGTGAAAACACAATATCCTTAACTTTTTTCGATCAGTTTATTATATTAGTAGCGTTAGTACAACTTTAACGCCTCTTCAAAAAGTCTATTTCAATTTTCCTATGTCCCGCGTTCCTGTGCACCACACGGTATATGGAATAATATAAATAAAAGGAAAACAATAGCCCCGTCTTTCTCTTTCGGATTTAGAGTACCTTTTTCAGTCGCATTTGCTTTGTGCGAAGCTGACACTAGCGTCACTTTGACGGTAATTCCCTGAAAACGACATGCAAATTGACCACAGCAGAGTTTAAATCCATTTAGGGAATAATTAGTGCCATGTTTCTGCAATAAATTTTGTATAGCCGATGTACAGCTGTATTTCCGATATTACAAATTTGTATTTTGAGCCATGACACGTGATACGTGGACCAAACTGATATCTGTTATATTTCAGACATAGATGATGTAAATTCTTAAGTGCGGTAAAATTTTAATTTTCACGATCGATAGGAATAAATATACATAAACGCACGTGCTCACTTCGTCCCTTGACCTAAATTGTTTTCAGCATTACACTATTATACAGCCTAATAATAAAAGTAGTATAAGATTTCAAGAGTTGAAATATAACTTTTTAGGTAGATTATAATACTATAAAAATTTCACGATGAAAGGAGATACAACAAAATTTCACGTATCTTTGGTTTTATAGACAAATCTTGTGTACGAATAGAACCACCGAAAATTTGTGTCAGTTGATTCTGGACTCGGTAGTATTTTATGTACATACTTGTAAATTAAATATTTTGAGTGGTTTTGTTTTTTTCTTTCACTCGCGATAAACATAGTTTTTGTGCTTTATTTCCTCCGCCAGAGGGAGATACACCTAAAGTGATATACGGTTAAAGTACCTGTTGTCGGCCACTTAAAGCATTTCTGGAATGAAATGGCGCTATAAAAATACTTCATTAAACTAGTTCAACTTTAAACATACTATACAGGGTGGTCCGAACTGTATTCCGGAAACTTCGGCATCATACTCTGCAGTAGGGTGGATCGAAAAATCGAAGTTTTGAAAATCGTTTTGGAATACTGCGCAAAAGTTGCCAATTGGTATTAGAAAACTAATATCTATTTATAGTTTTTCAATTATTTTTCATCTTCATTCTACCGGACTTTGAAAAAAGTAAGAAATTCAAAAATATAAAATTTTGATTTTTAGCCAAAATTTCAAGTAATAAGTAACTTTTGTAATTAGAAATAATATATCTTATTGAAATATGACATTTTAACCCCCCTACTCAGTGTACCCTATGTACCAAGGTCAAACATTTTTTTTATAAATACCCAAATATTTACAGACTTTAACAAAGATTTAAAAATGTGTCGAGCAGAGCACTTAGAGCAGTTTTTCGCTTGTTTAACAATATTTTATGTATTCAGTATTGTTAAACAACTCACTATGGGGAGGTAACTGCTCGGCGAGTTTCATCCCACCCTCCCTCGTCCAGTTATTTTTGCCCACTTATTGACTGTAGTCTTTTTTTTGGCTCAAATTGTGGCATAAGTTTGCGCGAATCTATTTTTGTCTTTATAAAACTGTCTCTCTTTTGTATGCCTACAACTTGTAAGAATGTGTTTAGGGTCATGTAAATGATTACTCGATTGCTGCCATACTAATACTAATTTATTCTACCTTTGTATAATATAAATTTATAATGTTCGATTGATTATTGCTATGGTTGTAAAATATTAAAACTAGGTTACTTTAATACTAATTATTGTTAATAGCAGAGTTTACTGAATAAGCATTTGATTTGGTTGCACCACATCTTCCCCTTTTCAAATGAATGAAATTCAGGGCAATGAATTTCATTCAAGCAAATTGAGACTGGCCAGTTTCTAGAAAATGTAATTCAACCAATAAAATTTATTATCATTTAAGTACTATACAATAGAAATTATTATTATTAAACCTAAATTAAATTTCAATACGTGTTATCGTAATAATTAAGTATAATATAAAATATAAATTAGTATACTAGATTCGTTAAATACTTAATGCTAAAATAATTATTATCTATGCAATTTGATAAATTAAGAATTTAAAGACTGTAGAATATACTGTATTAATACAATTATCATTGGCACTGCCGTTATCACTAATATTAATGTCATTGCGCAATGTTAAATTTTTGAACTCTGTTTTTGTGCACCGTGAGCTCTTTACCATTTTCACTTTTCACTGTACAA